TATATATATATATATATATATATATATACACACACACACACACACACACACACACACACACACACACACACACACACACACACACACTCATACACACACATAGAGTAATAAGTAAACAACACAAACACATTCCAAGCAGTTATATATATATATATATACTTTGAATGTTGTTTTTCTTGTGCGGCCAAAACATTTTAACTAATTACGTACTACCATTAAAGTGAAATGCTTTGCATTACAAACTTTAACTATGTTTAAAGGAACGTTTTTAATTTCTGAAACTGAGGTTATCATTAAAAAAACTGAGTATTAAGTTAAAAAAGGCATGCAAGTCTTTGTGTTTCTGAAATCCAAATCTTAACAGAAAATTAGTTGTACTGTTTCTAAAGAAGCATAATGATTTGAGCTGTTACATTTCATGGACCTATTTTTTATTAGACTATAAATTGGAATGATGTGAAATTGTGAAAGAACATGCTTGTTAGTATAGAAAAATAAATGGATAAACAGCAAAGAAAATGAATGAAATAGAAATATTTTTTATCTCATAAAAAGTAGAACTGCGTTAATTTTGAAGTATTATTATTAAACACTAACTTTTGAGTTGAAATTATGATTTTTTTTTACATAGACTTAAATAAATCATGAACTTTTTTTCCATGTAAATTACCCAGAATGACTTGATGCAGTTTTCAGGCCATTAGTTACATGTTGATTAGTTTTAATTAACAAATTGTCTTAGTTTTAGAAAATATTGTTTTAGAAGTTTCTTTTTCATTCTTGGGTATAGTCAATTATGACAGTTAGTTCTGTTTACTTAATATTTATAATTGTTACTTTGCATTGTAGTTGTTGTTAAGAGCTCATTTTAAAGGTGCCTTGTTAAGTGACATAATTAGGAATTTTTGTTTTTTGTAGTTTAAATTTATAGCTAAATATTTTGGACTGTTACTTCAATAACGGATAGTCATTTTTTACACTATTATTATTATGCTAACAAATTAAAGCATTTGTCTATCAGTGTAGATGTTTAAATTTCACTGACTCTAAGACATCCATTCTTCAAATATGCTGTTTTTTTTTGTTGACAGAAATTTCAGGCTATTATTATGTATTATTTTGTTTGAGATTCTCCTGTAGTTTGCTACCATCTACTCACTTTGACCCATTTTGTTGTTTTACTACAATTTATTATTTATAAAAGTACCTATAGATGAAATTTATGTTCCAGTTTTCTTTTTGATGTTTCAGTCTTAACAATACTCAGTAAATTCACAAGTACTTAACATGCTACTTGGCTCTTCTGGATCACCTCGTAGCTTTACCTTCCGAATCTGCAGTTTGGACTTACGGTATTTCCCAAATAATTTTGACCTTAACGAATTGTAAATAAATAAATAAATGTAATTTTTGTCGTTTCCAAAACTTTATTCTTTAAACTTAGTAATATTAATTGTATTTTAAGTAACAATAATGTCAGATTCTGAACTGTTTTATTTAACAGTTGTATATTTCTTAGTCAGTAGCAATAACTCTGAGCTTTGGGTGTTTCCTTATCATTAATGTTTTCTTCAGCCAATTATGGTTTGAACTTATAAATACCAATTGTTACATTGATTAATGCAAGAAATGACTTCTTAATCCAGTGTTTGTGTTATTTATTTGAATACTTTTTACAAAAATAATGTTTTACTGAAATATTTTATTTATGGAATTTGATCTTAAAAGCAATAACGACGACAAAAAATAGTAAACAAAATGGATATGTTTATCCAACAATTCCTTTAAGCATGTCTGACTATAAAATAAAAGCAGGAGGTCTTTGTTAGGGTATTCTGTATGTTGGTAATAAGTTGTTTTTAAACAAAATGTTATTTTTTCTGTTTTTTAATTAGAGGGATTGTTATGAATCTCTTGATAGGGATTTTTCATATATTGTGATAAATATGAAATAAACACCTTTTTTGTTGTAATTGAGTTGATAGCTCTGTTGTTATGTTTTGTAAAAGGTCAATATTTTAATTGAATGTGTATAAAACAAACATAAAACATAACAGTGACTGTGCTTTGACAAGTTTCATAAAAATTTGTTTAATTAGCTACAGAAGTCATTTATTACCTCAGCCACCAAAGGTGGATTGGGTTATGTTTTCACCCCTGTGTGTGTGTGTGTTTGTTAGCAAGATTTCTCGAAAAAGGCTGAATGGTTTTTTCGGAAACGGGTTGAAACCGTGAGTATTCAGATTCATGGTTTGGGCATTCTAACCACTAGCTTACTCCCGGTCATTCTTCAGATGAGTACATCAGATTATTCTTCAGTAGTACACATCAGCTCATAATGTATGTTCTCGTAATCAGTTTAAACTTCCTAAAATTCGTCGTTTCTCACAACTCAAAGCTAAAAAATGCAACAGAGCGCATACCCCCCGCCATGCAGCTTTGATCATATTTGGCTCTCAAAAAATACGAAAATGTGTTCGATGTCCGTCGTTATCAACGAACACGGACAATGTTTGGAAGGACAATGAGGAATAATATTCTACATATGTCTGAGTTATAAAGTATGTTTGTTTGTAGTTATGCACAAAGCTACATAAAGGGCTATCTGTGCTCTACCCACCATAGGTATCGAAACCCGGTTTCTAGTATTGTAAATCCGCTGACATACCGCTGCGCCACTGGAGGGCCTGAGTTATAAAACAAAATTAGTGTGCAAAATCGGTCTCCATGTTAACAAATGGGGATTTTTTTAATTTTCGTGACCTTGACCCAACAAATGGGGATTTCTTTAATTTTCGTAACCTTGACCCTCCAAAAACTAATCACTTCTAAGTTGGATAATAGTCCAATTGTATACCAACTTTCGTCCAAATCGCGCTCCGCACTCTGAGGCGATTGGTGTTGTTAACTGACTGCCTTCCACCTTAGTTTGTCAGTTCAAATAAGTGAACATATGAAGAAAAAAATGACGAATACCAATAAAATTATCCTTTAAAATAAAATCGATATTGTTTTCAGTTGAGAGTATTAAAACTAGAGCTGATAAGATTTCTGTTTATCGAGAACTTAATTAAGAAGCCAAGAACACAAAAACGATTTTCTTTACTAGATGTATTTTTCAAACATATTACGAATCGCTGCAGAAGGCGACACTAAGTTATTAGGTTTAACCAACACAAATCAAAGCATAAGTTGACGTCAAGAGTTTTATAATTCAGTCTGATAAGGTGGATAACGTGCTCGACTCACAATCTGAGGGTCGCGGGGTTCGAATCCGCATCCCACCAAACATGCTCGCCCTTTCAGCCGTGGGGGCGTTATAATGTGACGGTCAATCCCACTATTCGTTGGTCAAAGAGTAGCCCAAGAGTTGGCGGTGGGTGGTGATGACTAGCTGCCTTCCCTCTAGTCTTACACTGCTAAATTAGGGACGGCTAGCGCAGATAGCCCTTGTGTAGCTTTGCGCGAAATTCCAAAACAAACAAACAAACAAACAATTCTTCTTAACTACATCCTAGTTACTCTTAAGCATGCCTGTATCCGCGCATGCTACAACCTTAACGCTTATAAAACCAAATGACGAATGTAAGTGCCACAAAATGCTACTTGGAGGATAACGTTGCGGACGACAGAGAAATATAACTAATTAACATATTTAACTTTTTTTGTACTCTAAATTCATCAATCCTTTTTTTTGGTATGTAAGTTGAGAATTTAAAGAAAATTTTCTAGACTATTAAAAATACACAAATATCAAGGAGAATATATGTTCGAAAAACCGCTATGGTAATTTTGTGATGAAAGCTGACAAAAACTGACATTGACACACAGATTAACTTCCTACACACATTCACACCCAAGTTAACTTTCTATACACATTCACACCCAAGTTAACTTTCTATACACATTCACACACAGATTAACTTTCTACACACATTCGCACCCAAATTAACTTTCTACACACATTCACACCCAAGTTAACTTTCTATACACATTCACACACAGATTAACTTTCTACACACATTCACACCCAAGTTAACTTTCTATACACATTCACACCCAAATTAACTTTCTGAGACCTGAAACATTTTGATTTAAGGTCATCACATCGTACTATGTTGGCATGCTTTATTTAATTTACAGTACTAAGTATTGTAATAGCATAAAACATTTCTGGAATGTCCTGTATAAGGTACAGAAAGTTTGAGCCAAATATCTCTCTGAGCATTGTATCAAAGAATTTAAAGAGCTGTCACTTTTAAGATGACACATACATTTGTTCAGGGCGCACTCGCAATGGTGTTGGAACATTTTATTCATTGATGAAGATATGTCAATAAAAAAAGGGAAAATCTTATAGAAGAAAGGGCTAAGCTTCTCTCTAGTGTAACTGGCTTTGAACTCTAATAATAAGTGAATCGTGAAAGGCTAATTTAATGTAGTTTTTTGCAAAAGAGTAGTAGTTGACATTACTATTAACAATATTATGTTAACTAGCTTAGGGTTACCCGAAAATTCTTACTACTTAATAAGCTGTAATAAATGTCTCGATTCTTGAAAAAAAAGTGTCAATTCAAGTATTAAAAATATCATAATGCCTTCAGATTTTAACTTGTTCTTGACTATGTGAAATTTTATCATTTGTTTATTAATAGATTTCAAAACTACCAGAAAATATATTAACTTTTTATTGACAAATCTTCATAAATGAATAAGATATTCCAGAAACACCAAATATGATGAACGTGCTACATTTGGAAAAACGGCCCGACATGTTAAGGTACTCGACTCGCAATCTGAGGGTCGCGGGTTCGAATCCCCGTCACACCAAACATGCT